TTCCATCAGCCTGGCTGGAGCAGATAACAGCTGTTTTCTTGCTGGCACAAGGAGAGTCTGAAGCCAGGTGCAGTGGCCTACACCTTTAAACCCAGCCTTTGGGAGGCCAAGGCTGGTGGGTCTGTATGAATTTGAGACCATCCTGGTCTACATAGTTCCAGGACAGTTACACTAATTAGTCCTGAAATTCATTTCTGTGTTTAAGCTAAGGGTCTGGGTTTTTACCAGAGCCAAGATTCCCAGAAGATGGGGGACTCCCCAGGCTGCTGTGGTTGACAGGCCATGTCGCAGCTGACAGAATGCCTGCCTAGTGCCCCTTTATCTAAGTCAACATGGATAACTCTGTGCAGTACAAACTTCCATCACTCCTCCCCTTTCTTTGCTCTTTCTCTATTTTCCTTTCTTTCCCAGATGTTAAGTATCTATTTCCCAGCTGCCTGTGGTTGCACGATCTCTTGTGTTTGTGAAGCAGAGGTTGGAGGATCAGGAGTTTGAAGCCAGCCTGGGTTATAGGAGAGTCTCAGAACAGCCTGGGAGAAAATAAGAAGAAAGATGGTGGTCAGGAAATAAGAAGGGAGAGAAGAGGAAGGGGAAGGGGCTGAGGAAGAGGAGGGGTAAGAAAAGGAGAGGGTAGGATAAGGGAATTATGGGAAATATGCATAGAGTCCTGCCCTATCACTACAAGTAGAAATTTCAAAAATTACAATGAACAATCTTTCTATAGTGATTAGTCTTCAGTGAGGGGAAGCTCTGCTGCTCACTCTGGCTAGTTAACCTTTACAGCAGGGGAGTATTCCAGTGTTCGAAAGTAAGACCTCTACCACAATTTTTATGCCAAATTTGGAAGCAAGCTTTAGTGAATATCGGTCAGAATGACAGACACGGGCCAAGTCCACACCCAGGATTTACAGAGAATGGCGCTGAATTACATTAGTCAGGGGCTTTTAAAGGCAAAGCCCACAAGGCTCTGTCCTTCACACCTTCATCCAGTCAGGGACTAGCGTGCGTCCTGATACAAACACCCTGAGAGGTACCTCCCACCTACTTGTAGTCAGGCACGCCCTGCGCAGTTGGGCAACCAAGCCTATTTACTTGAACAACAGTCTCAGGATTCTAGGAAGTTGTCTGTCCTTTGCCAGCGCTGCTTACAGGTTAGAGGCATTTCTGTTGTACAGCTCTCTCAAGCACCGTAGCTTAAACCTAACGCCTAACATGAGCCCTCAGAGTAAGGTGGGCAATGGTGCTGGGACTTCTAAACTCAGAATATGGGAATACTTCAGACAGTTATGGTCCACAGAGGACTGAAAAGATTTCCCCAGTGGCCTTTCAAGCCTGCCATTAAAAGGCTCAAAAGATCTTGTATTAACCCCTCTACCATGGTTACTGCAGTCTCCTTAAAATGCTAAGCAGGAGGCTCACTAATGAATCCAAATGCATATTCATTGAACACAGGTGGGGACAAGGGGTTTGCAGCCTAGGCTGGCCTCCAACTTGGTGTGTAGTTGAGACTGTTCTTGAACTTTTGATCCTTCTGCCTCCACTTTACAAGTGGGATTACAGTCGTTTACCACCATGCCTGCTTTGGCAAGGTAGTTGAAAAGGTGCAAACAGCTTAAATACCATGGTTTAACTTATATTGTCATTTACAGTAAATGTAAGGTACCACTAGGACTTTAATAATATAAGGAATGTTTATATTATATTAACTTTAAAAAAAAGCTGCCACTTAATATGATAATCTGATTTTGAGAAAATATTTGTGCATGCATGAGCAGACACAGATCAAAATACACAGTTCAGGGATGTGGGACTTGGTAATTCTTTCATTCTTTATACTGTTCTATTGTCTACTATATAACTCACACCTGTGTAATCAGGAAAAACTCAAGCTATAATACACGTGTAGCAAAAGGTTGGGAGGATGGCGGTTAAATATTCCTGTAAAAATGTTGTCCTAGGGCTTTCAAGAGTTTACCCAGCTGCCCCTCTAAGGGGAAGGAGAAAAGGGGAGGCTTGAAAAAAGACCAAGAAAGAGTCCAGTTAATCATCTATGACAATGATGCATGACATCTAAATACTATGACGTAGGCGACTCCGTGGTGCACCCAGCAAGCTTTTCTTGTTTGTTTGTTTTGTTTGTTTAGTGATGCAGACAAAAGGATGTGTGTTTACTCTTGCCTGTAAAATGCTTTGGAATAAAACCGCTGCGTAGAAGACAGATCAGGCAAGTATGAGAAACTATAACTGACGGTTGTGGCATGGCGCCCCCTGTTGCCACCACTGGACTCACACTGAAGCCAACATCCGCGGCAGCATCTTTAAGAATTCAACAGTCTTGTAGCAATCACTCAAATCGATTCCCTATTCTGTGCCAGGCACTAAGTATACTAGAAGTGAATTGTGTCTGCAAATCCTTTCTTACTTTGTTCAGGTCACACTAACGTCTGTGAATGTTCATTTGTCTAAGCTGAGAACGCCTGCGGGTTATGAGGTCACTAAACTGAACCCCACAAACACTAACGTCTGTGAATATTCATTTGTCTAAGCTGAGAACGCCTGCGGGTTATGAGGTCACTAAACTGAAACCCACAAACACTAACGTCTGTGAATATTCATTTGTCTAAGCTGAGAACGCCTGTGGATTATGAGGTCACTAAACTGAACCCCACAAACACTAACGTCTGTGAATATTCATCTGTCTAAGCTGAGAACGCCTGTGGGTTATGAGGTCACTAAACTGAACCTCACAAACAAGCACTGTCTCTCCAGTACCGCACAGCTGGATTTCCCGTCATGGTGGGGACAGTCAGTAAAGACTGCCTGAGTAGCAGGTGACTGTCAGCAAGAACACAGTGTATGAGAGGGGGCAAGACACGGAACCGCAGCTGGGGCTTTGCAGGTGACCTTGGGAATAAGGTACCCTGACTCAATTTAGCCATTCACTTACAATTGGTTGAATGCCAGGTGCCTAAATTAAAAAACCAAGTAACACAGCTCCTTTTTTCTAATTGTCCTGATGTCTTTCCCTGGCATCAGATTAGGGGTTGGGGAGGCAGCTCAGTGGTGGAGGCCTGCAATTACATTACTTAAGTGTTTTTTTTTTTTTTTTAAAGCCAGACGTGGTGGCACATGCTCAATCCCAGCATTCAGAAGGCAGAGGCATGTAGTGGCATTTCATTTGTATTTTAATAAATAAAACTTGCCTCGGGATTGGGAAATTAAAACAGCCACACTGGCCAGCCTTGCAGACCAGGCAGTGATGACACACACCTTTAATCCCAGAAGCCACACTAGTTTATCATAGAAACCAGGTGGCAGTGCTGCACGCATTTAATCCCAGAACTCGAGAGGATTATAAAACGGGAGGAGACAGCTCTCAGTCCCATTTTGAGATTCCTGGAGGCAGGATCATCATTTTCAGACTGAGGTCGAGGTAAGAGCCAATGCTGGCCATTTTGGTTTTCTGACCTTCAGGTTGAACTCCAAATTCTGTCTCTTAGTTTTTATTAATCGTGCTTCAGAAGCAGATTGAGAATTCGAAGCCAGCCTGATCTATAAAGCAAGTTTCACGACAGCTAGGACTGTTACACAGAGAAACTGTCTCAAAAAAACAAAACAGTTTTGTTTTTTACATATTTTATTCTCTTGTGTACGAGTGTTTCCCTGGACGTATGTCTGAGCATTACGTGTGTTTGTACTGCACATGACGGTCAGAATGCAGCGTCTGATTACCTAGAACTGAATTCATAGGCAGTTGTGAGCCTCATGTGGGTCCTGGGAATTGAATCTGGGTCTCCTAGTAGAGATTTTTAACAGCAGAGCCTTCTTTCCATCCCCTGGAGTCCATTCTTAACACCGAGGGAGGGGAAACACTCAGTCACACTCTAGACTGTTTGTAAGGACGAGGGCTCAAACCTCAGTTCTCACCCTGACAAGCACAGACCACTACTGAACTCTTCCTCCAGTCCAAGGGATAATTCAAAAACTATGTTCACAATTATGTTCATTTAATTTTTTTCTTTTTCTTTTCTTTCTTTTTTTTTATTTTGGTTTTCGAGACAGGCTTTCTCTGTGTAACAGCTCTGGCCGTCCTGGAACTAACTCTTGTAGACTGGGCGTAGACCAGCCCGGCCTCGAACTCACAAAGATCCACCTGTCTCTGCCTCCCGAGTGCTGGGATTAAAGGCGTGCGCCACCACCGCCTGGCACGTTCATTTAATTTAATTCTTTTCCATCAGCTCATTGACTGTGAAGGTCCGAAAAGTATTTAAAAGATGAAATCCAATCCTTTGTATAGCCTCAGTTCACTCCACCAAGACTTCTCTTTTAGGATTTATTTGCATTTAGGTGTGTGTGTTGTGTGCATCTGCGGGGGCATCAGAACCCCGCAGTTGGAATTACAGTACAGGCGGTTGTGAGTGACCATGTGGGTGCTTTTTCTGTTAGAGGAATAATACTCTTATATACTCTTGCTTAGCCGCTGGGCCATTTTCTTCAGCCTCTCTCACCCCACCTCCAATCCCCAAGGCCTCTCGAATCTAGGGTGTGGCCTGAGGACAAGCCTCGAAACGTGTCGCCTTTTCCCGGACCTGTACTTATCTAGCCCGGATGCTCTTTGTTAGGGCTTGAGTGCCACCACCACGCGGTGTGTGTGACGTCAGGCTGCAGAGATACTTCCAGGTGAAACGCTAATGATCGTGGAGCCCCGCGGATTGATCACAGCCGGCCTTCAGGGCCCCGCCGTGTAGGAGAACACGGAGCACAGTGGGGTGGAGGGGGGGAAGGGAGGGACACGGTGGGGAGACGCCCGCAGGGGGCGCTGGGCCTCGCAGGGCCGCTAGCCTCTCCCAGCCCGCGTCCTGTTATCAGGCCCCGCCCACAGCACGAAACCACGCCCGCCTCGCTCTCAGACCACGCCCTCAGCCTGGGGTTCAGGGGTTTCTCCACCCCCCGCCCTCGCGGCCTGCAGCGGCGCCTGCGCGGAGCGACGGGGTGAGTGCAGCCGGGCCTGGCGGGCAGGGCCGGGAGGGCGCGCGCGGCAGGGGAGGGCGTGGGCGATCTCCCGGCAGCCACCTCCGTACCATCACCCGGGCGGGCCTCGGCGGAGCTGCGCTGCTGCGTGAGGTGAGGGCCGGCCTGCCGGGGCCTGTGCGCCGAGCAAGGGCCGCGGGGCGAGCGGGGCCTACCCAGCTTGGTGTTGGTCGGCGGCCGTGGCTCGGGTGGACTCCGCGGCGTGAAGGCCCACGTCGGCCTGCAGGAGGCCGCTCCTCTCCAGCGGGGACCCGGCCCTGCATCTTCAGGGACAGCGGGTCTCGGGAAAGGCCAAATGGGGCTAGCATTCTCCGAAAGCCGCTTCAATTCCTGTTATTTGTGACAAGGTCTTGTGTAGCCCAGGCTGGACTTAGAGGCGTGAGCCACAACGCCGAGCTTCAATCAGAATGTGAAAATTCTCTTTTTATGCTTGAAATTATGTGTGTTTATTGTGTGCATGCATGCACACGTGTGGCACAGCGTAAGTGTAGAGGTCAAAGGACAACTTTCAAGAAGTCTGTTCTTTTACCATGTGGGTTCCGGGAATCACTCAGGTTAGGCTTGCCGATAAGCGCGTTCTGAGCCATCACGCCGGTCCTGAAAATACTTACTTTTATGGTAGTGAAAACTAAAAGTAATTTAAACGTCTTGAAAACGCAACGACCCTGTGTTGGAGTTGGAGAGAACAGCCAATTGGAGCAGGCTCATGATTGCCTGTAACTCCATCTCCAGGAGATTCAACACCCTCTTGTACCGCACAATACACGCACACACACGAAAACAAGGTTTTTAAAAAATCCATCTTTGCATTGTGTAGAGACACTAGAGTTGCATGAAGTCTTTGAAAAGGGAAGCACTAGTAAGATGTCAGGTGCCAAGATGCCTACGTGTGGTTACCCGTTTATTTTGTTTTTAGGAGATAGTCTTTCCTTACCTCAGCCTCCTGAGTGCTGGGATGCCAGCTGTTAGCCCCTGAGCTCTGCTGTTGACATGGAAGATGATTTTTTAAGTTTTTCGAGACAGGGTTTCTTTGTGTAGCCCCAGCTATCCTGGAACTTGAGATCCGAAGACTAGACTGGCCTTGAATTCAGAGATCCACCTGCCTTTGCCTCCCAAGTGCTGCGATTAAAGGCATGTGCCACCATGGCCCAGCTATCGAGGAGGATTTTTAAAATAAGATTTCACATATTGTGCTCCCAGATTTTTAGGGATGTACACGTAGGCTGCCAGCCAGACCGCTCTTTGCCTGAGAATGGGGTTGGGGCTTTTTAAAGTGGGACTTTTTCTTTCATGTTTTCTCAGAAATGAAGACACAGCCAGGAGTGGTGGTGCATACCTTTGATCCCTGCACTCTGGTGAAGGCAGAGGCAGACCTTTGAGTTCAAACAAACAAACAAACAAACAAATACCTCAAATATAGATTAAATTCAGAATTAACATATGACCACATCCCATCTGTTCCTTCTTTTTTGAAACACAATGTACTCCTGACTGGTGCTGGAACTCATTATGTAGACCAGGTTGACCAAGAAATCAAAGATCTCTTGTCTCTGCCTCCTGAGGGCTGGGAATAAAGCTATGCACCACCACACTCAGCAAAGTAGAGGGGTTTTGTTTGTTTTTTGGGGGTGGTTCTTCCGCCTACCCCAGACAAGGTTGTCTGTGGGTGCAGCCCTGGCTGTCCTGAAACCTGTTCTGTAGATCAGCTGTCCTCAAATTCACAAGAGATCCGCCTGGCTTTTTTTTTTTTTTTAAGCACTACATTATAAACTGTGGATACATCATCAAAATTTGACTTTTTCTGAGTAAATAGATTTTAGGTGGTTTGATTTTAAATGTCCTGGTTTTCTACAGTGACGTGTGTATAGTTGGGGGCAGAGGTAAGTTTCAGGTGATTCACAATCTTTTTGATAGGAGAATTAGGGAGCACAAGTTTATCTGATTTATATTATTTGATTAAGAAGCTAAATTTCCTTTAATCCCAGCACTCGGGAGGCAGAGGCAGGCGGATCTCTGTGAGTTCGAGACCAGCCTGGTCTACAAGAGCTAGTTCCAGGACAGGCTCCAAAACCACAGAGAAACCCTGTCTCGAAAAACCAAAAAAAAAAAAAAAAAAAAAAAAAAAAAAAAAAGAAGCTAAATTTCTGGAGCTGGCAAGATGGCTCCGTGAGTAAAGGCGCCTGATGACCTGAGTTCAATCCCCTGGACACCCCACCCCTGTGCTGTGGCAGTTTGCATGTGTGCATGCTCCGAATGTCTTTATGAAGGCACTTGCATACAGAAAGCCCATACTGTTTGCTGATGTGAAGCTTGATTAGCAGGTTTGGTTGTGAGTGGTCTTAATTCAGCCTTTGGTGGTGTTCGGTCCTAAGTAGAAGTCAGACTCTCACCTGTCTTCTCTCTCTCTCCAGGCCAAATCCAACTTGCTATTTTAAATCATTGTATTTTCATGCTTGGTTTCCCTTTTGTGTTCTGAACAATCTGAAATATCCTCTTGACATATTAGTTAATATATATTAAGATATGGGCTACAAGAAACCCTGTCTCTAAAAACCAAAGATTGCTGTTTATGGTGAGGCATTTTGTATATGTACCTAATGTTTCTAGCCTGGTCTACAAAGGGAGTTCCAGGACAGGCTCCAAAGCCACAGAGAAACCCTGTCTCGAAAAACAAAACAAACAAACAAACAAACAAAAAAAAAGAATATGGCTGTCAGTTTTCCAGGTATCGCTTCCCCCCTCCAACCTGTGGCTAAGAACGTGAGGCAAGATGAACAAACTTGCTGGTGGCGGTATGGAGCAGTGAGAGTCCACACACACAGAGTTAATTGACACCAGCAGTCCAAAGACAAGTGTTCCATCTTTGGTCCTGCTATGTCATAATGGACTTTATCGGAGTTGGTTTCTTCATTGCTTAAAATGAGGTGAGTTTGATAGGGAACCCTTCTGTGTTCCTCATGGGACTGTTGGGAAGATGACATAAGTAAGAAGAATGTGCTTCTTACCTGGGAACTGCCACCTTATTGTGTGATCATGTGACATTGCAGCACAGTGACTAACCTAGTCTGTGCCCCTCGGGCAATGATTCCAGCGGCTAGGACAAGGCCACCATAGATGGAGTCTTAGGACTAGACAGGGCTCCATAGGCGCTATCTCAAGAAACTAACCGGGAAGAAGTGGAGAGAGAAAAGCTGCATTCAGGGTGCTCCCTCCCTGCACCAGTGGACAGATGTTAAGCTGAGATGGGAGAAGGAGCTTGGATATTTTGTCATTTTTCTTGTTTTTTTTCTAGACGGGGTTTCTCTGTGTAATAGCTCTGGCTGGCCTTGAACTCAGAGAGAGCCATCTGCTTATGCTTCTTAGTGCTGGGATTAAAAGTGTGGACTACCACAACCAGCCATTTGTGACTGACTTCCTTCCTTCCTTCCTTCCTTCCTTCTTCCTTCCTTCCTTCCTTCTTTTTATTTTTTTTTATTTTGTTTTTCTGTTTTTTGAGACAGGGTTTCTCTGTAGCTTTGGAACTTGTCCTGAAACTCACTCTGTAGACCAGGCTAGCCTCGAACTCACAGAGATCCACCCGCCTCTGTCTCCTGAGTGCTGGGATTAAAGGCATGCGCCACCACCACCTGGCCATTTGTGATTTTTCTAATGTCTGAATAAATTAATGTAGACTTACACTGTGATTTTGATGTCAAGATACAGCTGTGGCTATAAATATAAAAATTTTAAAAGAAATATGAAAATTTTACATATAATTGGGTATTTAGCTAGGCGGGGAAGGCAGAGGCAGGTGGATCTCTGAGTTCGAGGCCAACCTGGAATATAAGAGCTAGTTCCAGGACAGGCTCCAAAGCTACAGAGAAACCCTGTCTCAACCCCCCCCCCAAACAAAAATTGGGTATTTATCAGTATATACAATTGTTAAGAGTTTAGAAAGCATAAATATTATGTCCGAGTTCATTCTTTCTGTGGCTAATTTAAGATGTGGAAGCATTTTATCCATGAGCTACGGCTCATTCAGTGGTGCTATTGCTTATATGACTGCTGGTCTCTTTTACTTTTAGGTATTTTTTGCCATCTGTGGAAATTTGCCTGTAATTCATTTTCCTTGCTGTAGTATTGATAATTATACCAAGTAAGTGGAATACAGCCGAACTAATTAGTAAATTTTCTGGAATTTAGTTGTTTGGTGGCAGCCACACTTCTCAGTAGAATGTTGAATGTGACATCATAATCATTATTAAGTAAGATTTTTTTTCTTTCTTGAAAATTACTTATATTCCAAGATTCTGTATAACACATTTTTTTTTTTCTGGAAGCCATTGTGTTAATAGACTCACAGCTATATTTTAAAAAGAAAGATATCCATGTTTAACTTGAAGTCTGTAGAAATGTTGTATGCCCAAAGATATAATGGGTTGTGGGGGGGGGTATGTGTGTCGGGGAGGCAGTGGTGTGTTTATTTGATTGACAGGGTCTCGCTTTGTAACCATGGCTGGTCTAGAACTCTTTTTGTAGACCAGTATAGTCTCAGACTCTGCCTGTCTCAGCCTCCTGAATGCTGGGACTAAAAGGTGCATGTTGCTTTGTTTTATGAGACAGGGTCTCATAGTCTAGGCTTATCTGGGAGGCTCTCTATAATTTTCAATAGAGAGAGGCATTGTGCAGTGTTGTTCTTGTGATACCTATTTTCATGTTCCACACAGATTTCTTTTTTTTTCTTTTCTTTTTTTTTTTTCGAGACAGGGTTTCTCTGTGGCTTTGGAGCCTGTCCTGGAACTAGCTCTGTAGACCAGGCTGGCCTCGAACTCACAGAGATCCGCCTGCCTCTGCCTCCCAAGTGCTGGGATTAAAGGCGTGTGCCACCATCGCCCGGCTCCACACAGATTTCTTTATAAAATATTTTATATGTATGGATGTCTTGCACCACATACATTCTTGGTACCCTTGGAGGCCCACAGGAGGGAGTCAGAGTCCCTGAGATTCAAATTACAGATAGTAGTGAGCTGCCACATGGGTGCTGGGAATTGAACCCAGGTCCTCTGGAAGAGTAGCCAGTCTTCTTAGAAAACTGCTGAGCCATTTCTCCACCCCACCCCCATTTCTTATTGCTAATAAATTCTTTGGCTCATAAGAATTTATACAATAATAACTAGTTATTGTACCATGTCTGTGAATGTTTTTCATTTTTTAGATTGAAAAGATATGAATGAATATCCTAAAAAAAGAAAAAGGAAGACTTTACACCCTTCTCGTTATTCAGGTTAGTGTATAATTATTATTTTCAAAAGAGTAATGGATTAATTTCTGCGTAGTTGTTATTCCCATCTAGTTTTGCATAAATGATAAGGTGCTGTTTGGACCATTTTCTCGTATGTCTCCTAGATGGAGTGCTACAGGATGCGTTACCACTTGACATTTTAGAGTTCCCAGCTTACTCCTCATGTATCATCAGAGTCAGAACTGTGCTTAAGGTGCAGCAATAACTTCAGCAGGAAATATTGAGGGAAAAAGCTTTATCTTGAACACTTTTTGGAACTGTGACCTTTATTTTATGTGTCTTGAGTGTTTATCTGCATGTGTATGTGGTACCATGTGCATGCCTGTTGCCTATGGAAATCAGAAGAGGGTGTTAGATCCCCTGGAAGTACATGATGGTTGTGAACCATCATGGAGGAGCTAGAACTGAACCCAGGTCCTCTGCAAAAGAAACCCAAGTGCTCTTCTTAATCACTGAGCCATCTCTACCTCCCCAATTTTTATCTTGATTGTGTAATTTGTGACAGAGGTTGGCTCTGCTCTGTTAACATAAGAGGTCTGGGCTGGGGGTATAGCTCAGTGTATAGAATGCTTGCCTTGCATACATGAAGCCCTGGTTTCGCCTCATCCCATCACTTGAGAGATGGAGGCAGGACAGATCCAGAGTGAGGTCAGCTTGGGCTGCATGAGATCCAATCTCAAAAAAAGGAAAACGAGGCTGCTAGTGGTGTATGCCTTTAAGCCTAGCACTCCAGGCCAGCCTGGTCTATAGAGCAGAGTTCCATGACAGCCAAGGTCACACAAAGAAATCCTGTCATAAAAAGCAAAGAAGATCATCTTTGTGACCATCTCTAGCACACATACTTGAGACAGCATACCCATTAGCTTGCTCCTTGCACATGTCCTTTGTGAGGAAAGTGAGCTTGGTTTATTGTGTATTTATTGGTGCTTACCAGGCAATGTTTGGAGTGACTGATATTCAGAAGCCCTCTCTGCTCCTGAGACTAGTTCTCCTCATGTATTATGCTTTCTTGGCACTTACGTGGCATGGCATGCCTTCTTAGTAGTTCACAGTACCTAATTCACTGTTTTAATCCTTAACACAGCATTTATTATATATGTATATTTTGTGAGATTCAAACTTTAGGCAAATGTTTCAAGGTACATTTATTTTTATGTGTATGAGTGTTTTGACATTTATGTATGTGCACCATAAGCCTAGTGCTGGTGGAGGCTCGAAGGTGTTAGATCCCCTGGAACTGAGTTACAGACAGTTGTGAGCCACCATGTGGGTGCTGTAAACTGAACCTAGCAACAGAGTATCTGAGCCATCTCTCCACCCTGTTTCTAAAGGTTTCAGTTATATCTTATTTAAACTCATTATAGAATTAAAGCCTTGCTGATCCACCTTAGCCTCTGTGTTCCTGACACCATAGGTGTGCAGCAGTCACTCAGCTTCTTTTTTTTTTTTTTTTTTTTAGTTTTTCGAGACAGGGTTTCTCTGTGGCTTTGGAGCCTGTCCTAGACCAGGCTGGCCTCGAACTCAGTTACTCAGCTTCTTAAGCGTTACTACAGTTTAGTTTATGGCTCTTTTTTAAAGCCAAACGCCAGTGTCTGATCTAAAGTGTAAAACTGAGGAACACGCTACATTTTTCCTATTGAAACTCGTTAAAATAATGAAAATACAGGCTAGGGCTATAGGTGGAGGGCTTGCCTGGTATGTGTAAGGTGCTGGGTTCAGTCTTTAACATAGGGGGGAAGTAGACAAAAAAATATGTCAGACTAGCTCATGCATCTGTGTACTATGCTGGGAATTGTCTTCATTTTGTTTTACATTCAGATTCTTCTGGAATAAGCAGAATCACAGATGGAGTCAGTGGAATCTTTTCTGATCATTGTTACAGTGTCTGCTCTATGAGACAGCCTGACTTAAAATACTTTGACAACAAAGGTAAGTCCCATATCTTCCAGAGTACTCAGTATAACTCGCTTTGACAGGACCTAGGGATGCCCCCCATGGATGAGCCTCTGCCTCTGTGTGGAAGAACTGACTCCTCTGTGGTACTGCAAAAAACAAAAGCCAAGCAACAAGGCTGCCTTTGCATGTTTTCCCTTCAGGATTATCTGAAACGGTAGTTTGAAATGTGGGCTTATAGTTCCAAGGCAGGCAAAGATTTTAATTGTTATAATATCAGAAAAAAAGTAGTTTTTTAAATAAGTAACTTTCTTTTTTTTTTTTTGGGTTTTTCTGTGGCTTTGGTGCCTGTCCTAGAACTAGCTCTTGTAGACCAGGCTGGTCTCGAATTCACAGAGATCCGCCTGCCTCTGCTTCCCGAGTGCTGGGAAGTAACTTTCATTTTTAAGCAAACTCTTAATTTCTTTTATTTGGCTAAGAGTTGATCCAAAGCCAGAGTGACCTAGAATTGGATGTTGGCAGTCAAGTGTCTTCTCTCAGTCTGGAGTGCTGAGAGAAGGGAAGGGTCAAGAGCAGCTGTTAGGTATTTTTCAGTCTCAAATTCTCTGTTGCCCCCTCTTCTCTAGAGCATTGGTAAATGATAAGAACATGTATACTTTTCTTTCTCTGCACCCACTGCTGCTCCTTATCTGTGTGAGCCCACACCTGGCTCAGTAGACTCTCATGCTCACACACAGAGGTGCTCACGGATCTGCATCTGCATCCGTGACAGTTAATAGAACTGTTTTAGGCAGTTGTGAGGCCTAAAAGAAGCAAATAGTAGCAGTGAGCATATTTTATGTTCAGGTCTTGGTTTAAAATACCAATGAACTAAAGCCCCTATAGCCATGGCTGGCTCCAGATCTGGGGAGGAGATGGACAGGATGAGTTTGGAGCATCTTGTAGCGCTGGGAAATAGGAAGTATTAAAAAACAACAACACACAGTACGGATGAGCTGAAGGCGCTCTTGAGGGCCTAGGTGGAGCTCAGGTGACAGTGCTTGTCTAGCGCACATGAGCCCCTGGCTTCCACCCCAGCATTGAAGACAAAGGAAAGCTTCCAATAGCCAAAGCTGAAAATAATTTGAGAAACATGAATCTATACTGCCATAAATGATCGTGCATAAATAGGGGTAGAAGAGAAAAATTGCCTGCACAAAAGAAACCCTTCCACTGTTTTTTTTCAAGACAGATTTCCCTGTGTAGCCACAACTATCCTGGAGCTCTGTAGACCAGGCTGGCCTCAAACTTAGAGATCTGCCTGCTTCTGCCTCCTGAGTGCTGGGATTAAAGGTGTGAACCATAACCACCTGCATGAATTCCTCCCTTAAGGAGATGGAACCCAACTTTCCACCTCTTGGTGTAGGCATCACAGTGACGTTCAGAGAGGAGAGTAGGGGAGGACAGAAACCAGGTGGCACACTGGCCAGGTCAGGAGGGTAGCTCAGCAGTTAGTGTGCATTCTGGGAGGGATGGCAGGTAGGGCTGCCTTCTAGGATCTCGCAATTCCAATCTAATCATGAGAAAAAGAAACAGATAAGTTCCATTAGTACAGCATTCTACAAAATGGCTAACAATAGTCCTTGGGACAGTCAATTTTCAGTCACCTAGAAAGACATGACTAAAAGTATGTGGGATCCAAAAGGACATTGGGTAAAAACAAAGTAAGTCTGGATGAAGTATGGGCTTCAGTCAGTAATAATATATCACTATCAGTGGCCATATACCAATCATTAATTGTAACAAATGCCCCATACTAGTGTAAAGAATTAATAGTGGGAGCCAGGCGGTGGTGGCGCACGCCTTTAATCCCAGCACTCGGGAGGCAGAGGCAGGTGGATCTCTGTGAGTTCGAGACCAGCCTGGTCTACAAGAGCTAGTTCCAGGACAGGCTCCAAAGCTACAGAGAAACCCTGTCTCGAAAAACAAAAACAAAAAAAAAAAAAAAAAAGAATTAATAGTGGAAATGTTGTGATATGTTAGGAGTACTTTATACTGTTTTCATGATTTTCCCCCTAAGTTTTTCTTTTAAAAAATAGTCTATTAAAACGCACACACATATACTGCTGTCCAGTTTTCTCTGTTGACCCTCAGATCATGCTAACTTGGAGGGAACGAGGTTGAACTAAAGGAATAGTGACTCATTCTTACTCCTTAGGAAGTTCAGAGTGTATTCCAGTAAGTTGGGCATATAAACAAAGGCAGTGGGCCGGGCGGTGGTGGCGCACACCTTTAATCCCAGCACTTGGGAGGCAGAGGCAGGTGGATCTCTGTGAGTTCGAGGCCACAGGAACCAAAAGCTACGGAGAAACCCTGTCTCAAAAAATAAATAAATAAATAAACAAAGGCAGTGGATTATTCTGGTATATTCTTAGTGTCTATAGGGATCTGTAAAGTGTAATAGGCAATATGTCCTTTCATGGCTAAGTCTGTTGTTCCTATTGGTGTTAAGTATTTTGTGATGGTTAATGCTTTGATATAAAATGTTTTTCCAAATTCTTTTTACAGATGATGATTCTGATCCTGAGACATCAAATGACTTGCCCAAATTTACAGACGGAACCAAGGCCAGAAACAGGAATCAGAACTACCTTGTTCCCAGCCCCGTGCTTAGAATTCTAGACCACACTGTCTTTTCCACAGGTTAGAGGAACTCATTACCCAATAGCATTTAATGTATTTTGTACAGAGCAGGTAAAAGCAGTGCATGCCGTAACTACTGTTCACACAGCTGTTTCTAATGGGACTTAGTACAGTGCTGCAGTACTGGGACAGATGGTTCCGAAGGGCTTAGTGCAGTGGGGCAGCAGTGGACCACGGTATCTAATGGTGTGTACTATGGACAGTACTACATAGGATGATTCTCTAATAGGGCTTATGTAGTACAGTACTATAACAGCGGGCTTCCTCTGTTTCAGAAAAGTCTGCTGATGTGGAAATCTGTGATGAAGAATGTGATTCACCCGAGTCTGTGCCTCAGCACACACAAGAGGAGAGCCCTATAGAGGTTCATACCTCAGAAGATGTCCCAATTGCTGTAGAAGTTCATGCTATTTCTGAAGATTATGATATAGAAACAGAGAACAATTCCTCCGAGAGCCTCCAAGAGCAGACTGATGAAGAGCCACCAGCTAAACTCTGTAAAATACTTGACAAGAGCCAAGCTTTGAATGTGACTGCCCAACAGAAGTGGCCTTTACTGCGAGCCAACAGCAGTGGCCTCCACAAGTGTGAACTTTGTGAGTTCAACAGTAAGTACTTTTCCGACCTAAAGCAGCATATGATCCTGAAACACAAGCGCACTGACTCGAATGTGTGTCGAGTGTGTAAGGAAAGCTTTTCCACTAATATGCTTCTCATTGAGCACGCCAAACTTCATGAAGAAGACCCCTACATCTGTAAGTACTGTGACTATAAGACAGTGATCTTTGAGAACCTCAGCCAGCACATTGCGGACACCCACTTCAGCGACCACCTTTACTGGTGCGAGCAGTGTGACGTGCAGTTCTCCTCCAGCAGTGAGCTCTACCTGCACTTCCAGGAGCACAGCCGCGATGAACAGTACCTGTGCCAGTTCTGTGAGCACGAGACAGGTGACCCTGAGGACCTGCACAGCCACGTGGTCAATGAGCATGCCCGAAGACTGATAGAGCTGAGTGACAAGTGCAGCGGTGGTGGGCACGGGCAGTGCAGCCTGTTAAGCAAGATCACCTTTGACAAATGCAAGAACTTCTTTGTGTGTCAAGTATGTGGATTTCGTAGCAGACTTCACACAAACGTGAACAGACATGTTGCTATCGAGCATACTAAAATCTTCCCCCACGTTTGTGATGACTGTGGGAAGGGCTTTTCCAGCATGTTAGAATATTGCAAGCATCTAAATTCACATTTATCTGAAGGGATTTATTTATGCCAATATTGTGAATATTCAACAGGACAAATTGAAGATCTTAAAATTCATCTTGACTTCAAGCATTCGGCTGACTTGCCTCATAAATGCAGTGACTGCCTGATGAGGTTTGGGAATGAAAGGGAATTAATCAGTCACCTTCCAATCCATGAGACTACCTGACTGTTAACTTTACATAATGTTTATGTAAAATAATTTTTTTTTAATATTAAAATGGGTGATCTGAAACATAACTTGTATAATTTGTCTTTGACAAGTTTTCTGGCATATACTGCATTTTTCAGTACATAAGTATATTTAATGGAGGTGTTTTCAATTGCATGACAGTCTGTAGTTATCACTTTTGGTGACTATTTTCCAGTTTCTTGCCTATGCTTTCAAGTTCCTGAATGCAAACAAAGGTGCTGAAGAGACGGACCACAGTTTTCTTTCTTTACCACAGAGCTTCAAATTTGTCTTTAGAACTGAAGACCACCTTCTATGAAGTCTACCTACTGCACTACCAGAGCTAGGGCACAGAGCATATATGTGTAGTGTGGTGTTTGCCTGTATGTGAGCACACCAGATGTGTGCAGTATCCATGGAGGCCTGAGGAGGGCATCAGATCCCCTGGAACTGGAGTTAATAACTGCTGTAACTGGGTTGAGACAGGCTTCACTATGTAGCCCAAGCTGGGTTCCAGCTATCAAAGTCCTGCCTCAGCCTCTCTAACCACAGAACCATCTAGACTACATAGAGCAGTCCTTGCGGTGCTGGGAAGGCAGGCTTAAAGCACCACACCAACAAACATTTCTAAAGCCTCTGCTTAAGTTGAAGGATTTAAACGGGGAGAGCTGGGACTGTGTGAAACTAAGCACCTCACACCCCTTCACAACCAGCTGGCACTTTATCTTCATCTCAGTGCCTGTTACCTAAGCACCTCACACCCCTTCACAACCAGCTGGCACTTTATCTTTAAGTGCCCGTTACCAGAGCTCCTAGCATTTCATCCTCAGTCATAATCCTACAAAGTCATGCCCCAACTTCTGACAAAAGTGTACGGATTGAGAAGACCCACTGAAATATTAGCATAGAGTTAGGGGTGTGGGGATGAAAGGTTTCTGGTGTAATGTGCTGCTGTAACTGCTACAGAGCAGTTCTCAGTTCTGACACCGCTGGCAGAGGTGTTGCTCCTGAGGACCACTGAGGAAGGATCCAACCCTAGCTTCTCAGCTTGTCAGTGGCCGTCTGTGCCAGAGTGTTCTGACTTGACCGTCCCACATCTCCTTGTCTCTACTGGATCACCAATCATACAGCCAGTCCTACCAAGCTCACTGAAGAAGGGTCTGGGCCAGGGCGTGGTGGCACACAGCGGCAACCCAAGCACTCTGGAGATAGAGGTTTAAACTGCAAGAGCTCAAGGTTTTCAGATACAGCATGCTGCTTTTTATGATTTATTTTTATTATTTTATGTATGTGAGTGTTTTGCTTGCATGGATAGCTATGCATCGCATGCATGCTTGGTTCCTGAGGAAGTGGTGAGCCTCTATGTGGGTGCTAGAAATCAAGCCCGGGTCTTTGGCAACAGGAGCTCTTAACCATGCCAACTCTCCAGCCCCACAAGCCCAGGAGGCTAAGGTAGAAAAACAGCATTCAGGACCAGCCTGAGCCATAAAATAAAATCCCATCTTAACCAAAAACATAACACTGTTTGATAATGGATAACTCAATGAATATTCTCACAATTCAGCATCTTTTTCTATTATGCATGCCTGCATTCCTAGAACTCACTTCTGATTATAACATTCCTGGTAGGCTTTCCAGTTAACTGTCTCCTAAAGCTTGAAATCTTAGCAGTTTAAATTTCTTGTAAAATAGCAAGCTGTCAAGGAGTCAAGGTCATAGCACCCAGAAGTGGAATCCAGGTCTGCACAGTTCACTGAGTGAACTTTGTCCTTGCGCTGTTTTCACTAACTTCACGCCTTAGATTCTTGGTAATTCTGCTGTTTATGCTTGCTAGGAAACATCTAGTTCAAGGGGGCTGGCTTTCAGGAAGCAGACCTGATGAGAACAGGCTAATGCCATTCAGTTTCGCATTTTTCCAGGAGTCCAGCATGAAACCAGATCCCCTTGAGTTCACAGGCCTTAAACTGCTGGTGTAGTTGAACTGTACATTTAGCTCAATGATCTCTGGGAAAACAGACCCAAGTAAAGAGAAAATTTCCAGAACTGGCAAGATGGTTTAGTGGGTAAAGGCTCCTAAGTGTGGCGAACTGAGTTTAGTTCCCCAGGACCCATGTAGTGGAAGAGAACCCACTACAACCCGTTCTCTGACTAACACACTTGCCCACACAGAAATGTAATGAATAAGATGGAGAACGCTGAAGACTTCTGGACACACAGAGAAAATTTCCTACTAGATTCTCCCCTTTAGAAGCAGGCATTTCCATTGTCCTGGGATAGTTTCCACACGTGTCCACTCCCACTGCTCTTCGCTCTTCACCACTAGTCCTCCTCCTCCTCTCACGTCTTTGTGTGTTCCAGACAGTGGTTGCTTACAGGATCACGAGGGAGGGCTTTACAGGGTCAGGGACAACCCTGAAGAAAATGTTTCTCCCACCTCATTAACCATTAACTGCTTATAGAACCTGAGAAGGAAAGGGAGGGCCTCCTTTAGCCCTCCCGGTTCTGTACTCTTGGGACTTACCCACATTCCAGTCAGAGCACATCCTGAACACTAGTCTCGGCAGAGGAACAGCAGTGGCGAGTGCCTTTGTTTTTAAATGTCAGCTTGAATTGAGTTACAACTTGTGAGGTTCCAAAGCATTTTCCAGTACTCCCAAAGCTGAAAATGTTGTGCACTATTCAAAAGCCTTTCCTGTGTATAATTTTGCTATGTCATTTGAAATAATCTTTTCTAGACTTCTCTAAATGTACTCATCACATATTAGTCAGCTGCTTATCTTCCCAGGGATCTATGACATCTCAGGTAATGATTTCTGAACTGTTATAAGAAAAATACATAGGCTTTGAGAAAATAACACTATTCCTAATTTCACTTTTTTGTTTTGTTTTTCGAGACATGGTTTTTTCGTTCTCCATGTAGCCCTAGCTGTCCTGGAACTGCTGTGTAGACCAGGCTGGCCTTGAACTCAGAGACCCACCTGCTTCTGCCTCCCCGAGTGCTGGGATTAAAGGCATGTGCCACCACAAACACAATTTTATTTATTTATTTTTAAAATTTATTTATTTATTATGTATACAATATTCTGTCTGTGTGTATGTCTGCGGGCCAGAAGAGGGCACCAGACCTCATTACAGATGGTTGTGAGCCACCATGTGGTTGCTGGGAATTGAACTCAGAACCTTTGGAAGAGCAGGCAATGCTCTTAACCACTGAGCCATCTCTCCAGCCCCAAACACAGTTTTATTATTGTTATTTATTATTAGTATGTGGAGGTCAAAAAAAAAAAAAAAAGACTTGGTGGAGTTGGCCCCTTCCCTTCTATCTGTGCCTGGATTCCAAGGATCAAATTAAGGTTTCCAGGCTAGTATGGTAAAGTTCCTTTACTTTATTTATTTGTTTGTTTGTTTTGCCAAGGAGAGTTTCTTTGTAACTTTGGAGCCTAGCCTATTCAGGAACTCGCTCTGGCCTTGAACTCACAGAGACCTGTCTTTCCTCTGCCATTGAGTGCTGGAATTAAAGGCTTACGCCACTACCACCTGGCAGAATTTTTTTCTTAAGTGCTTTTGATCAAACGTAGGCCAAGCAAGTGTACTCCCACTGAGCTATGCGCACAACCCTCTTTGCTACCCAAAACCAACCAACCAAACAACCAACAAAAAAATCACACCTTTAAATTCCAGAACTCAGGAGGCAGAGGCAGGCAAATCTCCGAGTTCTAGACTAGGCTGGTCTACAGAGTGAGTTCCAAGAGAAGCAGGGCTATGAAGAAAATCATGTCTGTATGGAGTGAGTTCTACAATGGCCAGGGTTACAAAGAGAAACCCTGTCTTGAAAAAAACCACAAAGAGAGAGAGAGAGAAACCCTGTCTTGGCAAACCACAAAATAACAAAAATCAAAACTGATGTCTAGTCAACAATAAAGCCCTAACTAAGACAGCAATGTCCTTAGAAGGGACCTAGAGACCTTACCCATCCATATGTGACTGTAAGGAGCCATCAGTCTGCATGCTGGGAGAAGGGCTCACCAGAACCTCACCATGCTGGACCTCAGTCTCTGACTTCCAAACTGTGAGAAATGCTTAAGTTATCTGGTCTATGAACTTTAATTTGTTCGAAAGTGTCACAAGCTGGCTCCAAACCTGGCTTTGTAGCTTAGGATGGCCCTGAACTCCAGGTGCTCCTGCCTCCACTTTCCAAGTGCTGGGGTTGCAGGTATGTTGTTTCCCTTCAGCAAATTGCTGCTCTGCAGTTGCTAGCCTTCTTGGGCAGCCGCCTGGCAACTCAGGCCATGACCCAGCAGGAATTCCGTTCCCACAGGCACCAGCTATATTGCTGTCGCCAAATTGACCCCCCCCCCTTTTTTGTTTTTTGTTTTTTTTTTTTTTTGAGACGGTTTCTCTGTGTGACAGTGCTAGCTGTCCTGAAACTAGCTCTCGTAGACCTGGCTGGCCTCAAAACACACAGAGATCTGCTGCAGGACAATGGTTTTACCCTGTAAAGATTTGTTTCTTGTGCTTGTTTAATAAAATGCTGATTGCCCAGTAGCCAGGCAGGAAGCAGAGGCAAGGCAATGAGAACAGGAGAATTCTGGGAAGAGAAAGAGTGTCCTTCCGCTCCACCAAAATGAAACTAAACAAACAACAAAAACCATGCCACACAGAGTCCCTTCCTACTACATCCTGTGCATCTGTCCATCATCTTCCAGACGCCGTCTGACTCTCGAAGATTACTTTCTGTCAACAAGTTGCTAACCCAGCCTCCGGACCCAGGTTGATTTTGTTTAATTAATGCAAATGCAAACTTGGGGTTTACAGCGTGACTGAATGTCCTGTAACACAGGTGCGCATACCATACCAGGCCATGGCGACCCAACTAAAACACAGCAGAGGTTTCTTTTGGTTCTTTCTTCTATCTGACCTCTAAACTTTATAAAGTTTCCTCCCTTGGTACATGTACCATCATACATAACACAGCCTATACACGCTGGAATGGATTTTCGTATATCTAGTAGATAGCACTCAATTTGTACATTTCAAATGTATTTTGGATTCTAAAGAGCAG